GTGGTCCCAGACACTCAGGTCTAGCAGGGCTCGCTTTCCAGTCCTGAGCTGGGCTCCCCCAGGACCCCAGGCAAGCCACAGGTGGGCATTACAGGCCCAAGGGTGTCAGAACAAGAACCCTAGTGTGTGTGTTTGTGGGGTGGGCCACGTGTCTGCCCTTTCCAGGCCCCAAGCTGGTAATACACTCTGCCCAGGCTCAGAATAGCTGTCCTTAAGGTTGGCATCAGGCCTGGGCCCTGCCTTTCCTTTTTGCCTGCCCAGCACTGGGAGCAGAGGCCTGCAGACAGCTCCTGGGCACCTGCGGGAGAGCCGGTCAGCTCCTGGCAGCTCAGACGAAGGGAAGCAGCTTAGACCTTGGCCCCATGTGAGTGCAGGGCCGGGGGCCGGGTGGTGGCTCCGGGCTGGGTGCCTGGCAGCCTAATGCTGCGTTGAGAGCTTCCTGCCATAGTCTGTGCTGTGGCCACCTGCTGGGAATCCCCAGGCCAGGCTGGTCAGTGGGGAAAAGCACAGCCACTCAGTCTCTTGTCATGGGATGGCTGGCCCTCACCTCAGAGGTTCCTGTCCTACAGTGGGTGGGGACCTCCTCAGGCCCACCTGTGTGGCAGGACCCTGGACACAGGCAGCAGTGGGCCTGGCTGCACATGGGGCCCAGGCCTTGGCTCCAACACAAGTTAGGAGGGACGGGGGCAGAACCACCCCCAGGTCAGACCCCTCTGCTGGGCCCCTGGAGCTGGCACTGCCTCTGACCTATTGGGCTGTCCAGGTGAACCACAGGCCTCAGGGGACAACAGGCCTCAGTCTTATCTCTGCAGGGGAAGGGGTAGCTGGGGCCCTGTAGCAGAACATGGGGAGGGCATAGGGTACTCTACGGCCTCCTGTCCTCACAGTGCCAGGCCTCAGGCCACTCACCAGGGCAGGTTCCACTGATGGGTGTCTGGAATGAGGCCAGGGTTGGGCCTGCTGAGTGCTCAGGAATCATGGCCTAACCCTGGGGGCAGACAGTACTGGTTGAGGCACCGCAGCCAGGCCTGCCCCTGTGTGCTGTGAACCCCTCTGCATGCCGTGAACCCCTCTATGTGCCATGAACTCCCCTGTGTGCTGTGAACTCCCCTGCTGTTGCCCTTATTTCTGGGCCCTGGCCATGGGCTGCAGGCAGGGGGCCCCCTGGGGTACCCTGACCCCCTGGGCCAGGACACAGATTCACTCCACAGCCTGCCTCAAAGTGTGCAGGGACAGGTGGCTGGGGACCCGGGAACACTGTGCAAACTGGCTCCCTGGGAGCGTCGTTCTGGCTATTCTCAGACAGGTGCTGCCTGTGGGGATTGAGAGGGAACCCGTGGAAGATGGAGGCGGGGGAAGTGTATGCCGTGTTTGCAGGCAGCTCTGGCCCAGCCAGGGCTGCCTACCATGGAGCCTCCCACCTCAAGGGATATGCTGCTCAGCCATCTATGCACTTGGCCATCTGCTTACAGGGCCCGGACTGGCCCTGGTCCAGCCCTGACCACACCCAGGCCCCACCTCTGCCCATTGTTCTGGGGTGTCTGCAGATGCCCTCAGGGATCACAGCCTGGGAGCTGGGGCCCAGGGCCAGCGCTACTTTCTCTGGCTGGGTGGGCCTGGTCACCTGAGCTCCGGCAGCCTCAGCTTTGAGCCCCTGTCTGAGTACAGATCTGGGAGAAGCCAGAGATTCAGGGGTGGTTTGCTCACTGCCCTCAAGACTGACCATACCAGGCTCTCTGTGATCCTTAGGGAGGCCACACCAGTCACCTCAAACACATTTCCAGGTAAAACAGATCATTTTTAAACCTACTTTTTGCGGTAATGCTAGGAGAAGTGGGCTGCCACAGCCCATTAAAAATTGAAGTGAAGGTGCCATCATTAATTTTTCTGGCACTGCAGGGTCCTTGCCTTGCAGGGAGCCAAGTCTGCCAGGCATGAAGGCTGCTCTGGCTCCACATGGACAGCCCTTCCCCCGCAGTGGGCACTGCCCGCTGAGCTCTGTGGGGCCACCGGATGGCCATCCAGATGGTGGCCACAGCCGCCTGGCTGGACACTCACTCCTGAGAGGTGACTGGGGCTAGGGATGCTTAGAGGGGAGGTGTCAGGGCCAGATGACTCCCCGACAGCAGTGCTGAGCCTCAGAAGTTCCTGCCAGTTTGAAATATGTGAGGGGGGGCATCCCTCAGGTCCCTGGCTGTGAAGGTGGAGCGGAGCCCACTGCTGTGGTCTTGACAGGTGGCTGCATTTTCTCAGCTTCAAGGGGAGAAGGGGAGGAGTAGGCGTCAAGGGGCCCAGGAAGCTGGCTGGGGATGTGGGGCCAGGCTGGGTGCTGCCTGCGTGGGATGACAACGTGCACTGTGAGCAGGGGTGGGGGGCGAGGCTGGACCCTCAGAGGTGGAGGTCAGAGGTGAGCCCTTGTGGAGCTGCATCAGTGGGAGGCAGGCAGGGCTGGTGGACAGGCAAGATGTTCCCATGGTGATGTGCAATAAGACCAGATGGGGCGAGGCAGAGAGAGCGTATGTCAAGTCCCCTGCTGGGGCCTCTCTGCTACAGGGTGGGTGGGGCAGGATCTGGGAGGCGGACAATGTCCTGCTGGCCTGGGGTCGCCCAAGGGGCCCTGGGACAGACTGGTGGTCAGGAGTCTTGGATTCTGCCCAGGTGGAAATGCTGGAGGTTGGAGTGGGCTGGAAGTGCCCCCAGCAGGTGCAAGAGAGTGGCATGTGACACCGAGACTAGGTAGCAGCGGGAAATACCTACAACCAGCCCTGGGGTCCTATGTTTAGGAGTGGGATGGGGGAGGGAGCCAAGGAGAATAGGGATAGGAGGGGAGAACCACAGTGGGGGTTGCTGAGAGGCCCAGGGAGAGGGTATGGGGCAGAAGACCCCCAGTATGGCCTTAGTGCGGTGGGCAGGAGAGTGGTAGGATGGGCGGCTCTAACCCCACGGGCTTAGGACCCAACAGCCCTTTGGGACCCCCATAGGGGTTGGGGGAGAGGTGCCCTTGCTAGGGCCTCCGCTGGTTGGGACTCTAGGCACCACACGGGAGGGTGGGGTTGGGATTCAGGAGTACAGGGGGAGCTGAGGAAGGAGGAGGGACCTGTGTTGGGGTACGCCGCGGGGTACTGGCCGCTAACATTAGGTCTGGACCCCGATAGCCTGGTTTATCCCACTGCCTGGCCCAGGAGTCCAGGGAGTCTGGGTGGCCTAAGCCTGGTCCTCAGCATGGGGGATGGTCCCCTGGAGCCACCTCTTCCTGGCCCTTCTTGAGCTCTGTGACCAGCAGGGGCTGCAGGGCAGCTGCTGGGACTCCACCCAGGTCCCTCCCTGTGGCCCCAGGACAAGACCCACCACAAAGGCCACTGCCAACATGGGGTCTGCGTCTTGGATTTTGGGCATCACGTTGTGAGGGGTGATTGTGTTAGGCACTTTGGAGATGTCAGGCTTCCACCTCAACCAAACAGGGCAGTGACATCAGCTGTCACATTCAGTCAATGACAGCCACGGCCTGCTCAGAGGGGAGAGGGTGCTTGCACCTCAACACCCGGTTTCGGAGTCCCCTGCCCCCATGGACAGTGATGAGGAGGGGGGTGAGGTGGGACAGGAGTTGGGCTGGCATATGCCTTGACTCCGCCTGTGGGGAAGTGAGTCCATCTGGTTGGGACTATTAGGCACCATCCCCCATGCTGAGGACCAGGCGCAGGCCACCCAGACACCCAGGAGAATGGTAGGACTCTCTTGGAATCTGCTTGGAGCCTCCTCCATGAAGCCCTCCAGGATCCTTCCAGGCAACACAACTCTGCCTTTGGGCAGCCTGTCCATCTGCCCTGTCCCTGCAGTCTGGGAGAGGGTGCCATGCTGAGCACCACCCCTGGATAGTCCCATTCAGCCCCCACATTGGCCACAAGGGAGGTGGCCTCCTCCATCTGACACCCTGGGGACAAAGCAGGGTGCAGGATACACAGGTCACAAGTGCCAAGGTAACTGACCCAGGGAAGCAGAAGTCCTGGAGGGCCACCAGAGGTCATGCCTGTGGGAGGCCCGCATAGCACCCCCAGGATACAGGCCCTAGAGGTGGATGCTCCCTTCCCCAGAGACAGTTGAGCCTGGTACAGGAGCCCTGGCTCCAGGGACACACTGCGTCCCTCCCGTGTGTCACTGGTCAGCCTCGGAGGCATTAAGCACTGGCCTGGCCTGCATCCCGGCACAGCTGAGCACAGGAGGCCCTGTGTCTGAGGCTGAGCAATGGTAGACAGTACCATGAGCACTTCCAGGCCTTAAGTACTCCCGGCCACCACATGGCCTTTCCCATGCAGATGGTTGTGCAGATGGTGGCCCACAGTGGGGGGCCCTGTGACTGCCCCACTTTGCCTTGCCGCACCTTGCACCTTTGTAACTGCTGCTGTGTCCACTGTGGTCTCTTCTCAGGACCACTGGAAGCTTGGGCAGGGGCTGGGAGTTTGGAGGTGGCCCCATGAACAGCAGGGTTCGAGGGTGCCTGCAGGGGAAGCCAGCACTGCATGGGAGCCTGCCTGGCAGGAGGGGGCCCTGCGGCCGGCCTGCCCAGGGCTGGCCACCTCCTGCAGGCCCATCTGCCTCAAAAGCTCTTCAGGCTACAATGAATGGTGGCCTCAGGGCATAGCCTCCAGTGGCCTCCAGACTCAGCCCCTGACTACCAGCTTCCAGATGTTCTGTGCTATGTGGATCATGCTGTGTGTTGTGAGCACTTGCTGTCCCTTGAGCCCTGCACCAGGGGCCACAGGGTGTGTAGCTGCCCTACAGACCTTGGAGCTGGACCCTGAAGGGCCTGAACACTGAGCAGCCAGCAGGCCCCAGTAGGCCAAGGGGAAGCTTCAGGAGGGTGAAGCTTCTGGGTGGGCGGTCCTTGGGCTCTGGTCCCCCGGGTATGGGGAGCTGAGGGCCTGTCTTCTCTGGTTCAGAGTCGGGTGGGCTCAGGGCCCCGGCTTGTCCCCGCTGGATCCCCCATGGTGCCCTCCCCCCAGGGTCCAGGTAGAGTTCTACGTCAACGAGAACACCTTCAAGGAGCGGCTCAAGCTGTTCTTCATCAAAAACCAAAGATCCAGTGAGTGTGGCCCTGGGGTGGGGGCTGGGCCTGTCCACAGGTGGGGACGGGCAGAGCATGAGGTCGGGGGGGGGGTGTCCCATATGGGCTTCACACTGTTCACACTGCCTGAGACCACCACCTCCTGGGACTTGAGGGCATGCTGGCCAGGGTGTGGGGAGGGGTGCTAGGCTGCCCTAAGGCCCTGCCCTGAGGCTCCCCACCCTCAGGCCTGCGGATCCGGCTGTTCAACTTCTCCCTGAAGCTCCTCACGTGTCTGCTGTACATTGTCCGTGTTCTGCTCGATGACCCAGCCCTGGGGATTGGATGGTGGGTGACCCGCGGAACTGGGGACCAGGGTTGCAGTGTCCCAAGATTGAGCCTTCCTGCCTAGGCCCCGTTAACTTTACCTAGGCTCATGGGGTCTGTGCTTGGGCCCTGGGGCATTCTTTGTTTCCAGTGTGACCCGGTGGTTCAGTGTCTATCCCGGGACATGGTCCTTAGGCTCCCATGATGCTCTGGGGGCACGGTGAACGCCCTGGGCTTGTCTCCCACTGGAGCCCCATGGTGCCCTCCCCCTCAGGGTCCAGGTGGCTATGGCTGCAGGTGCAAGTAGACCTGAAAAGGTCCAAGACAGGCTGCAGGGTGTGGAATGCCTCTCCTCCCACCTTCATATGGGTATAGGAGGGGACTGGACTGGGTGAGCGTCTCTGTACTCACCTCAACTCCTACAGGTCCTGTGCGGCTCTGGGGGACTCCACCCCTCCTGGGCCCTGGGTGCCCTCTGCCTGGGTCCCTCCTCCATTGTTGGAGAGCACAGACTCCAGTCACTTCCAGGGAGAGGTACTGAGACCTCCCTGCTGGCACATTCAGGGCTGAAATGTCCTCAAAGCAGCCTACTATGAGGGAGCATTGGGAACTGGTTAACCTTTGCTTAATGCCCCCTTCAGGTGTCACCCACTCACAGGGGCCTAGTGTTCTAGGCTAGAGACACTCACCCTCTCCCAAAAACAAACCTCCTCTTTATACAGCCAGATCAGGACAGACCCCAGCCGCGGTGGCTTGAGGAGAATGGGTGCTCCACCTGACTGTTCTGGGTTCTCCCAGCTGTCCAGGTCTCAGAGTTTCTTGGGACTTCTGGTCTCACATCCCATAGGGCTGAGGAAGCTGCAATGATTACCCATCCCCAACACAGTGCTTGACACATGGGTGGCTGGTGGATGAATGGGAGGATGGAGGGAAAGACAGAGAGAAGGAGAAGTGGATGGATGGAAGGGTGGAGGGAGGGAGGGAAGGAGGGGCAGATGGTTGGAGAGAGGGAGGGATGGAAGAAAGGAAGAATGGAAGGGAGAAGGGGTGGATGGAGGGAAGGAGGGGAGGATGGATGAAGGGATGGAGGGAGGGAAGGAGGGAGAGATGGAAGGAAGATGGGGTAGATGGAGGAATGAATGGAAGGAAAGATGGACGGAGGGAAGGTGGAGCGGATGGATGGATGGATAAATGGAGGAGAGGAGGGATGGTGGAGAGGACAGGTAGAAGGAAGGATAGCTGGATGCATGGAAAGATGGATGGGTAGAAGGGAAGGACAGATGGACGGATGGAAGGATGGAAAGATGGATGGGTGGAGGGATGATACTTGAGTGGCCAGACTCTTATGTGGGCATTGAGTTTCAAGAGCACCAGTAAGGCTGAGAAGTGTGTCCTTTGAGAGAATAGAAGGGAGGAGCCCATCACCGTGGGGTGATATGAGCAGTGAGGTCCCCTTGGACAGTGGCCCTGGCATTGCTTGTAGTCTGGGGCATGTAGACTGACATGTCTGGTTCCAGGTGGCCTGGAGACGCTTGTCCTCAGAAGTGGCTTAGGAAGGTGCCTCCTTGAGTCAGTGTCTCAGAGTGGGAACCTTTCTCTGTCTCGTGAGCACTGTCCAGCCTTGTGTGTGGCAGCTCCGGCCTCTGAGAGGCCTTGAGTGTCCCCATGTTCTGTGACCAGCAAGCCTCTCCCCGGAAGCTGTTAACAGGATGGGTAGAACCCCCAGTTGAATGCCCAGTACTCCCCATACCCTCCCTCCTGGTCTGCTCTGGATCCCGGGTTGCCCCATGCCATCATCCTGCCTGCCAGGCTGAGGTATGAGCACAGGTTACAGCCTGCCCCTCCTGGGCTAGAGACCCTCCCCACAGGCCCCGCAGCATCTGTGCACTTAGACACAGACACCCTCTGGATGTGGGGGCTGGCCTGGGGGGAGAGCGGTGCCCTCCAAACCATGGGAAGCGCTGGAGGGGCCGCAGCCTGGCTTTGTGTCTTCACAGCTGGGGCTGCCCTAAGCAGAATTACACCTTCAATGATTCATCTTCTGAGATCAATTGGTGAGTTTTCTCTCTGGCTGGCAGTGGCCAGACCACTCAGAGGCACAGGGCCTGGATCGGGTGGGTAAGTGGAGGTTCATACTGGCAGCCCCTGATTGACTATGCCCAATCTCAGCCCCTCACCTGTTAAGGTTCCCTGAGGTCACGTTAGTCTGTACCCCAGACCCTGGCTGTGGTCATTGCTGGGGATGTCCCTTTCAGAGGGGGGTAATTTGAGAACTACAGAGAGTTCTAAGTGTGTAACACCTATTATTCCCTCCAGGCCAGATGTGCAGCTCCCATGGCATTGATGAGTCTGGCCAGCTCTGCCCCAGCAGCCGGGGGTGGGGAGTCACAGGAGTGCCTCCCAGAGCATTTATTCTTTCCCAATTCATAATCCTGCAGCAATGGGGCCTGCATGTCCCAACCTGGGGGAAGGGACTTCACAGCAGCTGAGGTGCCTGGCCCAGAGTTTGAGACATGTCCTTAGAGGGCCAGCCTTGCCCCAATACCAGAGCCCTGTGTGCCCCAGAGGGCACCCTGCCTCCCCAGCCTTCTCCCTGCACCCACACCCTGCTGTTTTGAGGCTCAGAGGACCCTGAATCCAGCAGTTAGATGGTCAGGCCTCCCACTCTTCAGGAACATGTGTGGGATCCTGTCCTCAGGAGCCTAGGTGAGAACAGGAGGACCCAGGCCACCTGAGGCTCAGGCTGCACTTGTTCCCTGTGTGTCCAGAGGAGAGGGCACTCAGCCATGGGTGGTCCTGGCCTCACAAGCACCTGTAGGGGCCCTACCTGTGGAGGCTTTGACCCTTCCTTAGGGACCTTCCCTTCCACCACATCCTGCTCCCCCTCAAGGGGAAAGGAGGATGCACTGGTCCCAATGAGCAGCACATGCTTCAGCCCTGGCCTGGTGGTGACTGGGGGACACTGGAGCCTGCAGTGCCTCACTGTGCTGTCCGCTTGTCTCCTCAGGGCTCCCATCCTGTGGGTGGAGAGGAAGATGGCTTTGTGGGTGATACAGGTGAGTGCCTACTCTGCCCACCTCCAACCACAGTAGGGTTCAGTGAGCACTGAGGATGGACCCAGGCTCAGTAAGCAGGAGACCCAGACTTGGAGAGCACTGAGGATGGGCCCACATGAAGTAAGTAGGAGACCCAGATTCAGAGAGCACTGAGGATGGACCTAGTCTCAGTAAGCAGGAGACCCAGACTCAGAGAGCACTGAGGATGGACCCAGTCTCAGTAATCAGGAGACCCAGAATCGGAGAGCACTGAGGATGGATCCAGGCTCAGTAAGCAGGAGACCTAGATTCAGAGAGCACTGAGGATGGATCCAGGCTCGGTAAGCAGGAGACCTAGACTCAGAGAGCACTGAGGATGGATCCAGGCTCAGTAAGCAGGAGACCTAGATTCAGAAAGCACTGAGGACAGACCCAAGCTCAGTAAGCAGGAGACCTAGACTCAGAGAGCACTGAGGACAGACCCAGGTTCAGCTGCTTTCCCATGATTTTTCCGAGGCACCCCTGAGTGCTTGCTGTCCCTCCCCATGTTTCTCAGTCTGAAACTCTTCCTTATGGCTGACCCACCTGTGTCCTCGAGGTTTTCTGTGGGGTAGGGAATAGGGGTACACAGCCCAGGCCAGGTCCTCAGCCAGCTCCTGTGTCTGTCTTCCTGGGCTTGCCTCCTGCTCTTGGTGGTGGACCTGGTGATTCATGATGGATTCCACATCTCCACCTGAAGCCAGGGAGGGTCTCTCACTCCCAACCCTATAGTATCTGTACTATGGCGGGGTCAGTAGGTACCTGAGGTGAGAGGAGATACCAGAGGAGCCCAGGAGCTCCGGCCTATCCCCAACCCCCACTCGGTAGTGCTGCAGAACCTAATGGCCTGGGGGGCAGGAAAGGCCACCCTGGGTGTCTGAGTGCCTTGTACAAGACCTTGGCCCCATGGCTCTCATCAGGTGCTTTAGCAGTGTGGGCCCCATGCACCCCACCCCATCTCACCCCAGGGAATGGGCATTTCTAGAGTCCATCAGCTCTTGGTCCCCAGGAGGGGTCAGCCACAGGTCTTGGCCCCCTAAAACCGCCCTAAACTGGCTGGAGGGTCCTGGGTCCGGGGTCCAGGCACCCCGCCTCTGCACACACACCCAGGCCTTGTGTGGTGCCCATCAGCGGACCTCACTCGGGTCAGGACTGCAACCCAGCCCAGCCCAGCCCAGCCCAATTAAGACTCCTCCCTTCCCAACTTACAGGTTATCGTGGCCATAATCAGCTTCCTGGAGACCATGCTCCTCATTTACCTGAGCTACAAGGTACGTGCCCCAGCCAGTGTCTCACACCCAGAACCCCTCCCCATGCCCCAGTGCCCTTCCTCCAGCACCCTTCCTACACCCCTCCTCAGCGCCCTTCCCCAGCACCCCTCCTCAGCACCCCTCCCCAGTGCCCTTCCCCAACACCCCTCCTCAGCATCCCTCCCCAGCACCCCTCCTCAGCATCCCTCCTCAGCACCCCTCCTCAGCATCCCTCCCCAGCACCCCTCCTCAGC